GCGAGGAGAAAAAGAAAGAGTATTAGCAAGTTTTAAAGTGTAGTTTTCCATCAGAAATGTGACACCTTTTCACTCTCTACATCTGTGTTACAATGGGCCACGATGGCTCAGTACATTGACAAGCAGAATTTCTACTGATGACAGAACTAAGATAGCAAGGGAAGAGTGACCTGAATTCCACTTCAACTTAGTATCATCAATAAAAGTATAAGCTTAAAACCAACTGCAAAATTTTCAATAATTGAAGCAAGGTGCAAGGCCAAAAAAACTCAGCCTGGATTTTAGAACCCAGTTAGAAGTCTTCTATCGTATGAACAGAACAAGTCTGATCTAATGGGAGAATATAAAAAAAAAATCAATAGTCCCAAACCATCAAAAAAGCATAGTTAACATACACCAGGGACAGGCAAAGTATGGTCCATGGACCAGATCCGGCCTGCCGGGCGATTTCATCTGGCCTGAAGGCAGGGACCCACGAATTAATTGCATCTTGACTCAGCTCATGGCTGCCCCTACTGTGCTCTGCATGGGGCTGAGCCCCACCTACTGCCACCAGGGCAATGCACTTTGCCCCCACCCTCACCCATGGGAGGCCCTGATCCCAGGCCCAGCTCTGGCCAACACAGCTTCTGGGTGGGGTTGCTGCTGCTTCAGCCACCCAGGGAACTTCATGGCTCCCCCAGCCTCCAGTTACTCCTCTTCCTGTCATTGCTGCAGCACTCTGGGTGGCAGGTAGGGAAGCAGTGGTGGGCAGAGGAAAGCTACAGCTGGACAAGAGCCCAGAGCATGGAGCCAGGGCTGGTGGGAGCATGGGGTCTGCACCTGGTGGGGAGGCAAGAGCACAGAGCCTGGGGCAGCAGGACCATGGGGTCCAGGCCAGCCTGGTTCGATCACACAGGGCTCCCCGCAGCTCTTGGGACTTGTGCACCACCAGGGAGAAGCCCTGCACAATGGAGGAAGCGGCTTTCCCTGCTCCCTGCTGCCACATGCAGCTCCCAGGACTCTGCCAAGAGTGGTGGGGAGCCCCACACGATGGAACAAGCCTTGGTCAGGTCCACTCCCTGCTTTCCAGCTGAGTCCTGGGAGCTGCACGTATCAGCATGGAGCAGGGCCAGGTCACTGGCTCCACCGCACAAGGCTCCCCCGGCAATTTATGGCTCTGGCTCATTCCTAGCAGCTGCACGTGAGCCACACGCAATGGAGGCAGGCCAGCCTGGCCCCACTCCCTGCGGCTGGAGCTGCACACCAACAGGGAGCTCTACCTGTGTGGGCCATATATGCTTCAAGAGCCCACCATCTGCTGCAGCAGGAACTGTGCACCATGGAGGGAGGCAGGTGTGGCGGGGGCACATGCACACCCACACGTCCCCACACCCTCACCCTACCCCCATACCCTTCCCACATGTATACATCCTCACCCCCATATATACCCACACACCCCACATCCTCCCACCAACACATCACATACTCCACACAAGCCCCACACCCTCCTGTACAGACAACCCCTCACAAACCCCACATGCTCCCTCATACTCAGACCCCCCACTATGTCCCCCACACACCCACAAACCCCACACCCTTCCACACCTCTCTGAACACCCGCCACACATACCTCCCCCACAAACCCCACACCAACACACAACCCCAACCACACCCCATTCACCCCTCACACAATATTCAAGATAAAGATTTTATTTTGAGCTATTAAGCAACTGCAAACATACACAAATCAGGATGAAAAAAAATCAGGATGAAAATTTTTTTCTAAATAAAATTGAAGTATGTTATAGTAGATATTTGATTTTTAGTATATGATTTTTTTTGTCCCAGTTCCAAGATGGTAACCCACCACACTCAAAGAAGTACTTCCAGAGGAAGGGGAAGGGACTTCCAGTGGCAAAAGTCAGGGTTTAGAGGCAGGACTTCTGGTCCCAAGGTTGCAACCATGGGAGCGGGCACCTGTCAAGGGGAGAGGCTATTTGTGTGGCCCTCAACAGCTCACCAAAACTCATTAAGCAGCTCTCCTGCCAAATAATTGCGCACCCCTAAGGTACACCATAGCCAATGGCACGCAAACAGTACCACATTCAGCCAGATGATCATCTAAGTCAACAATACTCAGACTCATACTTCTAGATCAGCAGTCATCAACCCTTTTTTGGTTGCAGCTGAAATGACCCAGTTCAGATCAGAGGCAGATGATTTTGGGGGCAGGCACTAGGACTTAGGTGATGCCATTACTTTTCCCAACAGCAGTACAAGCAGAGATTCTGTTGCTGCTGTTTCTCACAGAGAAGTGACTAATGCAGAAGCCCCTTGCTACCGAATGCTACCAAAACCTCATGTCTAGCAGCCATATCAAATGACTCTGTGGGATGCATCCAGCCCTCAGACCTCTGCTTTATATCAGTAAAAACACTTTGGCCATTTTCCTCCTCCAACACATGGGAAAATATCAATATCCTCCATACTGATTTTACATAGACAACTCTGAGCACTTACTAAGGTTTTAACCATTTTCTTATAGTGAACCTGAAATGAAGGATGGCTGAAAACATGATAAAAGGAAAATAAGTTGGCATCCCACTAGCAGCTGTTGCTCTTTCAAATATTAGGAAAAAAATTCTCCTTTCAGTTCACAATTTCTTCAACTGAAAATACAATAAAATAACAAATAAAGGCATTTTTACCATTTTCCAAGAGAGCTATTGAGGGTACTAAGACTAGGCTACAGAGCTTTGCACAAGTCAGTAGCCAAATCTAGCCAAGGTTGAATGCTAAGCAAAAGTTGTTCTCTTTTTCAGGTGGTTCAATGGCCTACAAATAATTTATCATCAAAATCCAGGTCAGACAAACAAACATATATACCACAGTTAAAACTAATTCATCCTCTTGCTAACAGTCTTGACACTGAATGAGCAAAGAAATTCAAACACCTTGTTAATCCCACTTCCAAGGACCAGCATTAGAAAAAGACTCCCCAAGCTTCCTTTTCCTATAGTTTGGGGGAAAGCTGCAAGAATAGTCATTGAATTCATGGACACTAACAGACACATAGACCAGTGTGCAGTCTCTCATTAGCATGGCTATCATTGGGAATTTTTCTTTTTCTGCTCTCTAACTTTAAATAATAGTCATGTAGGACCAGGGTTTTCTGTATTGCATCATCCTGATTCCCTCCCCCACTTTGCAGTCTCCTCACTCCTAAATCATAAACTCATAGAAAATTAGAGTTGGAAGGGACCAGGAGGTCATCTAGTCCAACCCCCTGCTCAAAACAGGACCATTCCCAACTAGAACATCCCAGCCAAAACTTTGTAAAGTTGGGCCTTAAAAACCTCCAAGGATGGAGATCCCACCACCTCTCTCTATAACCTATTTCAGTGTTTCACCACCCTCCTAGTCAGAAAGTATTTCCTAATAACCCATCTAAGCTTCCCTTGCTGCAACTTGAGAACATCACTCCTTGTTCTGTCATCTGCTACCACTGAGAAAACTCTAGGTCCATCCTCTTTGGAACCAGTCATCAGGTAATTAAAGTCTGCTTTCAAATCCCCCCTCTCAGTCTTCTCTTCTGCAAACTAAATAAACCCAGTTCCCTCAGTCTCTCCACAGAAGTCATGTGCCCCAGCCCCCTAACCATTTTCGTTACCCTCTGCTGGACTCTCTCCAACTTGTCCACATCCGTTCTATAGTGGGGGGTTCAAAACTGGACACAGTACTCCAGACGTGGCCTCACAAGTACAGAACAGATGGGAATAATTACTTCCCTTGATCTGCTGGCAAAGCTCCTACTAATGTAGCTCAGTATGCTACATTAGTAGGCTACACGTAGCCTTCTTGGCAACAACAACATACCGTTGACTCATAGTCAGCCTATTGGCTACTGTAACTCCCAGGTCCTTTTCGGCAGAGTAGCTGCTTAGCTAGTTGGTCCCAAACCTGTACTGGTGCATGGGATTCTTCCATCCTAAGTGCAGAACTTTGCACTTTTCCTTGTTGAACGTCATGAGATTTCCTTTGGCCCAATCCTCCAAGGTGTCTAGGTCACTCTAAACCCTTGCTCTACCTTCCATTGCATCTGCTACAACCCTCAGCTTGGAGTCATCCATGAACTTGCTTAGTGCGCAATCCATCCCATTTTCCAGATCATATTATCTATTAAATAGATAATAAGTTTCTCAGTGAAAAGGAACAGAACTCCTAAAGGAACCAATCAGAGCCTGGACAGGAGGGAATCCCATGGGTGTATACTAGTACAGTACATTACCATCTGTGGTGGTAACAGGGATTACTTTTGTACCCTTGGAAAATCCTGTCACAGATTGTAATGTCAGGAGACACTACTTCACAATGCAAAGGGATGACTGTAAGAGCAATGTCCTCTAGAATGTTGTCATAGGAATGAAACAAATATGTAATGCTGTGGTGACCTCTACTCCCTCCGTCCCCAAATGCGGGTAATTTCCTTTATGATATGTACCATTTACCCCTAAACTGGGCCCCTACCACAGCAGTGCATTCTTTTTTGCCTAGAATCATAGAATCACAGAAACATAGGGCTGAAAGGAGCCTCAGGAGATCATCTCAGGAGTCTGCCCCCCTGCTCAAGGATGCTATCAGTGATTTCAGAATGATTGCATCTCCATGTGTTAAAAGCAACTGAACTGTCATATTCTGATACCAGAAAAGGAGCCCACATTATCTCCAAGTTTGCATGTACTTGCATTATATATATATATATATATATATATA